TCAGTCTCTATCCTCTAAAATAACTCTTCATATACTGGAAAGAGTTCTTGGGTCAACTACCAGGTTTCCCTTCTCTAGGATAATGATATCAAAATCGTTAAAAGTAGAATTTCTAGACGTAATCATTCTTTAAGTTTCTGCTTGAATTATACCAAAGTCTTTGCAGTCTCTGCTCAGATACAGACTCATAGCTTTCACCGTAAATAAGAATTACTACAAAAGGATATAATGAGTGGTCCCTTATATGGCTCACTTTGAGGGCTAACTTTCTTGGAACTTTAGAGCTGATCTGAATGAGGATACTGAGAACAGGTTTAGTCAGTAGATGGCAATAGGCTGGGTAGCATTTCTAGAGCTCTGAAAGACTTATATTTAATGTGACCCAGATTGGTTAGAAAAATATTCTATCACAAAATGGATGAAATTTAAGAGAAACACTACAAACAAAACAGAGATACAGTATGGGCAGGGCCAGCATGACTTAATGGTTTAGCTGTAAATAATTACAAAGAGGAAGCTAAGGGGTAACAACTGGAGGATTACTATAAAACAGGCTGTTTTCCAATTCCTCCTCAAGTGAGTCCTTGGCATTAACATGACTGGATTAATGTGGATTAGGATCCAGCTGCTACCAGAAAAGACAGATGAGGACGTTAAGAAAACACATGATCTTTCCAGTTGTTACCTGGCTTGGTAATAATAATTATTATTATCTAGCTCAATATTTTATATAAAATGATATATCATGAATACCTAGAACCCCATGCAAGTACACACCAAAATCGAATGCAGGGATTTATGTTTTTATTGGTATAAATCACATTACTGATGATGAGAATGAATGTCACACTGATTAGTAAGAACAGAACAAATCACAAATAGAAACTTACTAATGGTATAATTTTCATCAGTTGAGTTTTTCCTCTGTGTGTATTTTCATTATTCTTTATTATTCTTATTTCTCCTCTTACCAGATTGTTTTTTCATCTTCTTTCTGTCCATTCCCCATTCCCACCCTAGGGTAGTTAGCATATTCCTTTTTGGCTTCAAATTTCCCATCTTAATTTTTTTTCATTATAAAAAGGTATGGTCACATGACAGAAAAATGTGGAAGACAAATTCTCCCCAAAACCATGAAATCCATTTTGAAATATTTACTTCATTTTTGTGCTTAAAAACAAAAACCAACAACAAAAAAATCACCATCAGTGTAGAAACAATTTAATGAATCATCACTTTTTCTCCTATTGATATTATATTATAAACAATTCTCTATAATCATACTTTTTAAGGGTCACAGAATATTTCATTTGTTAATGTACCATAATTATCTGTTAGGAATTTAAATTATAACTTTTTGCTACAAATGACCCTGCGAGTAACATGCCAGGTCTGATCAGTGCTTTCATAATTTTTTTTACCCAAATACCAGTGACCAACAGTATGAGGGCTTAGCTGGAAGCAATTATCAGCTTTTGGACAACTCTCTTTTATCTTAAAATTTTATGTAATTTTGCATTTTTAAATACATTTTTTTCTTTGGTTAATAAATATCGATCAGTTTAAGTTATTCTTCTCCTTTGCAGTCAGTTTCTAATAAAACTAATGTTCTAGGAAGATCTATGTATTAATCTTGTGGATTCTATGGTCCCTGACATGAGTATTCTACTTTGAACAGTTTCAGGGCCTATAGCTACTTCCAAACTTTGGATAATTTTCATACTATAAATTCTCAGGAATGAAATTACTGGGTCAATGGTTGTGATCACTTTTATAGTTTCAATTCATGTTTGATGACAATGATTATTATTTAAAAGTTCAGGCTAATTTTGGAGGTGAAAAAAGATATCTCATTTTAACTGACTTTTTTTGACTGTTAATCAGGTTGAACATTTTCTTATTTTTATTTATAAGTTATAAC